ATGGCATTTCCTGGACTTTGGGTGGGGAAGTTTTGACAGAATTCTGATGGTCAGAAAACAGAGTTTTAGTATGATGTTTGTAATGTTACTCTGAGTATGCATCCACAGCGGGCAAGCTGAAAAGTTTGCTTGGCCACGGTAGTAATCGAACCCGCGACATTTGGGATACTAGTCCAGTGCTATGCCAACTGAGCTACGTGGTCAAGTCGGTTCGAGTTGTTAATAGAGTTTTAGTATGTCGAAATTTACAATTTGCTTACAATTTAGTAGAACTAAATGGGCGAAGGCGTATTTAATTAGCTATATATTGCAGGAAAGAGTATGGTAATATGATTCTTTGCGGTTTGTCATGGATAATGTAGCTGCTTAAAATTAATCAATAGACCTTTCCCCTTATGAGTGAAATTTTGATCTAGACAAGCCTGGAAAATCATCACAGCTTGAAAGAGCATCACAAAATTAGTAATATTCCGAATTTTCGTTGCGAAATGTTGTAAAATGCGGATAATCTAGCCTTGCGAAGTTTGCCGTTTTTCAGTCATTGTATTACAAATGGGAAATTGGTAATCAGTTTGATCTTCTGATTATTAATTTCCCGTTTGTGATGCAAAATGACTGAAAAACGGCAAACTTCGCAAGGTTATATTATCCGCATTTTACAACATTCAACGCAACTTCGGAATATTACTAATTTTGTGATGCTCTTTCAAGCTGTGGTGAATTTTTTGTCCAGGCTTGTCTAGATCAAAATTTCACTCAAATGGGGAAAGGTCTATTGTAGAGGTGTGCAAATCCGATCCGAATCCGATCCGATCGGATTCGTTCGGATTTCGGAACCAAAATATTAATTTCGGATCGGATTGATAAAGTTGTTTCGTATAGTCGGATCGGATCGGACTTCGATATCCGAAATAAAATGAATTAATTATCCATGCATTATCGCAAGAAATAATTATCCATGCATTTATCGAAGTATCATCGCGGTTGTCGGTGCATTATTCGCGATTGTTTGATACTTCAATTGGACGTCACTTTGTCAGCTTCTTGACATGTATTTCTTGCTTTTATATTTATTTGGTTACATATTTCAACTTGAATGAGAAATTTATTTTATTAAAGAATTCTTCGGATCGGATCGGATCGGATAGGAATTCTTTTTCAAAACTCGGATCGGAACGGATTGGGATTAGACAATTTCGGATCGGATCGGATTTTAAACATTAGGCAATTGTCGGATTATAAACGTCCAATCCGATCCGATGCACACCTCTAGTCTATTGTCAGTATTTTAAAGGTATATTATTTAAATGATAAAGGTGTGCATGATTTGAAAAAAGAATGATTATCAGCAAATTATTGTAAGGGCTGCTCCCCAGTCCCCCCCCTCCCCCCGACTGCTACGGCCTTGAGAAGTAATAAACCGAAAAACATTTACCGATATACGATTTGTTTTACGTAATCCATGTAAATGCTGTGATTTGGTAAATCAGTTTATACCAATGGTTATTAAAAGTATTTCAGGGCACATAACGATGCTCTCAAGAAATGAGGAGAATTCTTCAAAAAACATATTCGAAGTGACAGCATCACTCTGGGAATATGGTGGACGGTAAACCGCAATAATTTTAATAGCTTTATTGGACACTTTACAGTTCCATTCTGAATATTCGAATGAATATTTTTTATCCCCATTAATAAACTTGATTTTAATATACATATATATATATATATATATATATATATATATATATATATATATATATATATATATATATATATATATATATATATATATATATATATACGAATAGGTTTGTGCACGGGCAATAGGACAGGTGTAGTGTTGTTAAATAAAAAGTTAGAAATGGTATTGTACTTACCCATGTATTATAATTATGTTTAGAAGATCAGAATATTCATAACTTCTTATTTTGTTTCATAAATAGTTCTTTAATATTCGAAACAAATTCCATATCTGCTTCGTCTGCCATCGCCATGTTTACTCGTCCCAATCTACATGCTGCACGGCATTGCCGCCCCTCCTGGCAAAATAATAAGCAAGCGAGAAAAATTAAGGAGAAAATAAGAGGGTAGGAACATCGTTGTCATAAGCTGGATGCAGTGACACTTCCATATATGGCACAAACGTATCCATAACTTCCATATATGGCACAAACGTATCCACGACGCGTTTTATAACGTTTTATTTGACGTAGGGATGACGTGTAATGCTGTTTCCCGCCTATGACGATTTGAATTCGTCATGTGATACAAGATTGAGAAAGCTGATTCGCCCAGAGCGCTGAAACGCCCACGAAACGCCCACGGTGTTCCTACCCTCTTATTTTCTCCTTAATTTTTCTCGCTTGCTTATTATTTTGCCAGGAGGGGCGGCAATGCCGTGCAGCATGTAGATTGGGACGAGTAAACATGGCGATGGCAGACGAAGCAGATATGGAATTTGTTTCGAATATTAATTAAAGAACTATTTATGAAACAAAATAAGAAGGTATGAATATTCTGATCTTTTAAACAAATTATAATGCATGAGTAAGTATAATACCATTTCTAACTTTATATTTAACAACACTACACCTGTCCTATTGCCCGTGATTCAATATCAAAAAAAATTATCAAATCTGCATCAATTATTTCCAGGATTCGTCATTTTACTAATCTCAAGTCTCTAAAACTTGTTTATTATGCATTAGTTTATCCATATCTTATATATGGCAACCTAATTTGGGGTAATACCTACAAAAACAGGATCGCGAAACTGGTAAATATCCAAAAAAAAAATTGTAAGATTAATGACTTTCAAATCTTATTTTGAACACAGTGAACCAATTTTTAATGATTTACAAATACTCGATTTATACAAAATTAATTCATACCTAACATGTTTGTTCATGTTTAGGTATTATAACTTACAAAACCTACCAGAAATGTTTGAAAATTATTTTTCAAAAAACAATGAGTTTCATAGTTATAACACAAGAAGTTCTTCACTATTACATAAAACATATAAAAGAACAAACTACAAAAAACATTCTCTCGCATGCAAAGGAATTGATGTATGGAATGGTCTTGATAACCATTATAAAAAAACAGGATCTTACAGCACATTCAAAAGAAAAATTAAAAAATATTTTTTACAAATCAATTCAGTTATCTAACTCTGTAAAATAAATCAGATAACAATAATATGTATACTCTAGAATTATTGTATGTACTATATATATATATATATACATATATTTAATAGTGTACACATGCATGGATGCATGCAGTTTTCGATATATAGTATCTACGGAATCTTCGACTTTATGAAAATAATTTTATTCTGAACATTTATTGTTAATTATGAACATTCTAGTTAAATATTTTTTGTTGAACTGTTAATGTTAAATGTATGATTATATATAATTGATTACACTAGGGGCCTTAAACAAAAGCCTGATGGTTTCTAGTAGGCCTCTAGCCATCATTTGTAAATAATATTAATTAATAATCAATGTTAAATTTGGGCGAAATAATTAAATAAATAAATAAAAAAATAAAAAATAAATAGTTTAAATTAACAACATGTTTGGAAAGATGAGAGCACTCAGCAGTTAATAGACTTTGAATTGCGATTTCCCGCTGCGCGGCATGAATACATATTTGGGCTGAGACTGAGGTTACAGAAATATTTCAATGCACTCTTCAACAGAATCTTAGGCGGACATATTTTTATGCACGATATTTTAAGTTATTTTTCTATTACTATTTTAGTACAAGTTAGAGGACGAAATTCGTCATTATTCTATTCATTACATATAATTCCCTCCAGCTATTGACAATGACTACAGTATATAAGCGGTATACAAAAATAGTTTATAACTCACCTATAGATAAATATCTATCTCATCCACGTACCGCTTGTTCTGCTTCTGTCCGAGTGAACTTTACAACGGCCAGATTTCGAAAGCACGGCTATATACATTTTTAATTAAAACGGTGTTGATTCAAAGCGCGTCAAGCAGCTACCCTTTTTAATTTTAATAGTCTATGAACATTATTCTAATCAAGCTTGGTTTAACTTTAACCAATGAATGTTTATCAATTTCCATTATAGCGTTATATTAGGATTCAGCTTTTCCATACTCTGGCATCAAACTATATGAAACGATCACATTCAGTCGAACGATATACTTTATAATAGCGCTAGCAGACACCGTGCAGACACTGACTGACAAATTTGGAACATGAAACCAAAATTGTATACTGAAACGCAAGTTATTATTGGTCGAAACTTGTAGTCAGTTAGTAGGGGAAAATTTGAATATTTATGTAACACACCGACTGTGTTTTTTCAAAACCGTGCTAAAATACCAATATTACAATCTTCTTGAATGAACTATACTATCTTTTCCCATAATTGATAGATAGATCTATTAATTTCGCGATAAATATTAATGTATTTCTTGGAGTCCTATGTTTTTACAATGAACCAATTCGCCTTAAAAACATAGCTGGCTTTTTAATTCTAATATATTACGGCGCAATTTTCAAGCTTCAAGGTGAACACCACAGAAACTATAGTTAACACAAATGAACAATAACGAACGTATAAAAGTCACAAAGAGAGATGTATGTATATTTAAAAATGTTGATAACAACTCAAAACATTTGCCAGAACAATATCGCTTTTTGCTCAAAAAACTTTAAATTCTACACAATATATTTACGTAGGCGGAACTGTCAGTAATTGTCTTTTGTCAGTAAATGTAATTGTAAACCGCTCTTGTATAGCACTATTCACTCTGTATCATATCTTATATCACTAGCACATTATAAATCTACCCGTCGAAGACTGCAGACTGGCAGTCGAAAGCTTGTTAATAAATAAATCTTTTTTAACCAGAGAACGTTTACACAATTAATTAGAGATGTATGTATTTTAAAACACATGTGTCCAAAGGTTAACTAAGGAAGGAGTGTTATTTTGAAAAGGCGTGTTACTTCGTAAGGCGTGTTTTCCCAAGATGTGTTAATAAAAATTTTAATTAGGTGTGTTATTTGAAAAAGTGTGTTATCTGACCAAGGCGTGCTATTTTACAAGATGTGTTGCCTTTCGAAGGTGTGCTGTAATTAAAAGGCATGCTGGAGTAACACACGCATTTTGTCGGAAGGTGTGTTTGGCTTAATAGCACGAAAGATGTGTTATTGAAAGGCGTGCTTTTTAACCCACTGGCGTGCTCTTTAACATACCATGATAGGTTAACTAGCACATCAAGGTGTGTTAAGGTTTGATTGTGTGTCAGTGTAGCACACCAGGCGTGTAAGATAACACAGGTCGGTGTGTTATTAAGCACATCTATTTTTTAGAGTGTATACATTAATTAGTAATGTTTATGACGTAGACATGGCTTGTACGTGGTCATTAAATCGTGACTGTCCTTGCCATAGGACTTAATACCACAAGTAATATATATGTGTGTGTGTGTAATTAATTAACTATATCAAAACTAATTACGGGGAGCACCTCGCATGGGACTTTTAGTGTCCCGTTTGTGCTTTTCCGTTTGAGTGTATCTACTAATTTGTGATTTGTGACGTGTGTTTTGTCTTTCGTTTGTCAAGTTTTTTATCTTTGTACCTGATATAGTACGTATGTAGATTGCTCAATAAATTCATTAATTAATTAATTAACTCATTCGCGAAAGCCTTTTCATATCCAAGCTTAATCCTACTTTAAATGCTAACATTAGGTCAACTCCTCTTGACCTTTTCTAATGCTTTGCTAGGTCTCTAATTACTATAAACCATTATTTCTTTAATTTACTAATACTATTGCTTTTAATGACAGGTTGTTTTTCATCCTTCCTCTTATTCGCTTATTTGAATGCTGTAAC